GATTGAGGTTGTAATGAATATGGTAATCCATTTTAGGCATTAATGAATTAAATATGATCTTTTAAATAAAGACATAATTAATTATATTTGCATGGTAGAGTTGTAAATACTTTTAAACCACGTAGGAGATATGAAAATTTCTCTAAATAATAAGGCTGCCATTGCGGGCCGACTATTAGGTTGTTCCAATAAATCACTTGCGTTTAATTCTCATCTGTTTCTCGTTTTTGCCTTTCAATAATTATTTTGACTCCATTTTCTGTCAAAACTTAAATAAAACATCTTCATCAAAATATAATAAAATTAATTAAATAAATAATAATATATATCCAACTACGACAAAACACCCACACAAATTACTCTAAAATGCACGTAAAAATGGCGTACGTAAAAATGACGTATGTTAATATTGCAATTCAAACTTTTGTGTTATGCGACGAAATTTGTATTGTTGTTTTGACCATGAATTATGAAAATATTCACCTCGATATTTATTAGAGCATTGTAGTAATTAATATATATTTTTAATGGGTTATTTCCATGAATTAAATACATTTATTAATTTAAATTGCATATTGCCGATGTAGAGTGTATATTTTTTATTAACGGATTGTCCAATTACGACTTACATTCATTTCATATAATAATAGATTCAGTTGCGTTAATTTATTTTTAATAAAAGTGAGGATTTTGTTGGCATAAAAAAGTGTAATTTTTTAGGAAGCCAATTCACTACAATATTCCATATTGGAAAATAAAAATTAGATAAATAATAACAATTTAATTTAAATTGTATCACATCTCACCACACCGCGGCTGGGGCGCTTTGGGGATTGGAGTGGGCTGTTCTCGGTGGTGGCCTGGTGTGCATGGCGTTGGCGCAACGACCGTATCTTCAATGGCCGCACCCTAGGCTGTGACGACCGACGTGTGGAGGTCCTGTCCAGGCTATCTTCATACGCGCAGGCTACTGCTTCTTTTGCGAGATTAGGAGCGGCGTTGCCCCCAGTTCGAGACTCGCCTAATCGGTTGGGCCCCGCCAGATCATGGTTGGGTAAAGGTTAATACTGATGGCGCCTTTGATAAGGGTTCGGGCCTTAGTAGTGCGGGTGGGATTATCAGGGACGAGATGGGGAGATGGGTGCCGGGCTTCCTTATGCACATAGGATATTGCACTATTACCGGGGCAGAATTATGGAGCGTGTTTCAAGGGCTTCAACTCGCATGGAACTTAGGATTTCGAAAGATTATGGTCGAGGTTGATAGCCAATGCGTACTTCAAATGATAAATGGGTCCGACAACAATTTTGGGGTCCATGAAGCATTAGTCATGGCCACTCGACAGATGACCCAGAGGGACTGGCAGATTCACGTTCGACATGTCCACCGCGAGGCGAACTTTGCGGCCGATCACCTGGCGAGCTTAGCTGCTTCATGGCCGATTGGTCTTCATGTGTTAGGTCCTCCTCCTCCGAGCTTGGGCGTTTGGCTCATGCATGATGCAATTGAGGTTTCTTACCCCCGCCGTCTTTTAGTTAACGCATAGGCTTCCAGCCTCCTTTTTTGTACCAAAAAAAAAAAAAAAAAAAAATTGAGAGATTTTTTTTTCTTTTTTCCTTCTCTTTTTGCAGGGGGGGCGTGAGCATAATAATCGCATACTGTGTGGCTGAAGCGGAGCTGACGGAAATATTCACAAGGTGTCGGGATGATGAGCAGCTCCGCACAAAGTATGGGTTGATCAGGACTTACTTTGAGTTTTGAGCATTTTCATTATTTTGTTATTTTTAATACTAGGCATTCATGGGATTGGGTGATCTTGTTCTTGTTGAGTTATGGATTTTGTATGTAACTGTTCTTGACTATAATGTGGCAGTGGTACGTATTATGTTTAATGAAATACATAATAACTTGTCTGAAGAAGGATTAGTACTCATATTTTCATTATTTTGTTATTTTTTTTTTGTTTTTGGTACAATAAAGGAGGCCGAAGCCTAAGAGCTACTAATCATCACACGGCGAGGACGAGCCACTCCTAAAATATCGTAATTTAGCCACTCCCCAAGTTCCGGCGGCGGGTCCATAAGACGATGAAAACCAACTGAGACACCAGCAGCCAACGAAGCTAACTTATCAGCCGCGAAATTTCTTTCTCTGTAGATATGGGACAAACGGACACACCACTCCTTCTTGAGTAACTTCCGAATAGCTTGAATAATGGATTCATGCAGCCCGAGATTGACCTCAGTCCCCGAGACCATGGCCACGACACTACTATTATCCACTTCTACTAACACGTGTCGCGCTCCCAACTCCCATGCCAGATGAAGTCCATGATAAAGACCCTAAAGTTCCGCCCCAGTGATCGAACAAACGCCCACATTCATAAGGAACCCGCCAATCCATCGACCATAAGTATCCCGAGCTAACCCTCCAGCACTACCCTTACCGGAAACTGTACACAACGCGCCATCCGTGTTGACCTTAATCCAATTCACCGGGGGAGGATTCCATCGGATCATTATTTCCTTGTAGCGACGAGCCCCCGCGCCCAACGCATTTGCGCAAGCCGTGATGCACAAGTAGTTGTCCACACGACTCCAAATATCCGAGAGTTGTGTCTCTATCGGCACTTTTCTATTCGAAAAAACCGCCATGTTTCGATCAGTAATATTGATATAGTCGAAAAAAATAGTTATATTGATATAGTTATATTTATATAGATTAAAATTTATTAGGTTAACTTATCAGTAATATTTTTACGCAATAAATAAATGTGAATTTATCTCATGCTAAAAATTATAGTTGTATATTTGGATTATAGAGAGGATTTTTTAATTATAGAGGGATTTAGACTTTGATGAGCGTTAGAGTTTGATGAGTATTTCTGTAATGATCTTACTTTTTTGTGATTTTATTTTTGTATTTTTCTGTAAATAAAGAGAGGAAGGAGGAAATTTGTTGTAACTGTAAACTGCTTACCCTTTCTCCAAACACAACTTAGCCTTATAAGGCATTTACAATATGAGGGTCCCATAATATTCTCTTCTTGTTAAACTTAGACTAATCAAAGGAAAATGGTAAAATAATAACAATACCAATAATAACACTTAGAGCATGTTTGTTTATGAAAATTTTTTGTTTGTTTGGATTTTTTGGTTTGGTTTAGTTAATTTTGAAAAAGTGGTATGGTTAGTTGTTAGTGAGTATATTAAAATGATATTTAAAATAAAATAATTAAAATTGGTTTGATGTAAAAGTAGGAAAGAGAAGATGTGATGTGATTGTTAGTTAAAATAATGTGAGTGGATGAATAGTGAATTAAGGTTTATGTGGTGTGTATAAATGATTGATTGATATTATTTAATTATATTGATAATATTGATGATAGTGAGGTTGAGTTAAAGTTGAGTTTAAAAAGCGAACTTCGCTGCGGATCATCTGCCGTCCCTAGCGGCGTCTGAACCCCTTGGGGTGCACCATCTTGTCGTTCCTCCTCCGTCCATTGGCAAGTGGCTGGAGCATGATATTATTGGGGTCGCTTATCCCCGCCGTATTTTGTCTTAGTTCTCTTTAGGCTTCGGCCCCCCTTTATTGTACCGAAAAAAAAAAGTAGTTGATTTAAAATGTGAAAATATTTTTGAAAAATCTTATAAACAAACATGCTCTTAATAGGCTATTATATGATTCAACTCACTACTCAAAAGCCATCTCAGTTGGGCCGGCACTTCCTTCTTTTTTCAAGTCCACATCCACTTCCTTCTTTCTTCAAGTCCACATCCATACCAAAATCTCCATCCAAGCCCAAGTCTCTCCACATACCGGGTACATGACAATTTCATACCCTCAAACGCATATAATTTATGAAAATAAATGACACAATTTTGATAGTCAAAGCTTGCTCCATTCATATAGTCACTAATCAAGTGTAAACGAGCGAAGGCGGGCTCGAATTCGAGCCTTTATCAAGTCAAGTTGAGCTAACTAATTAAATGAGTCGATAAGTTAAATAAAAAATCATATTTTTTTAGCCTACCAAGCCTTAGCCAGCGAGCTACCAACTCGATTCATTAACTACAGAAACTTGATTTGGGCTCTTTCATAAAAAAAGTCGGATCGAATCGAACAGCTACCAACTCGTTTCATTAGCTACACAAACTTGATTTGGGCTCATTTATAAAAAAAAAAAAAAA